GCTAATCAAGACAAAAAAAGCCATAAAACAGACAGAAGATATTAGAAACACTAATCAAGCAGAACACAGCAAACTCCAAGACCAATAAGCACAGACCAAGACTCCCAACCAATCAGGATGAAGAAAAAACCATTCTGGCACAGCAGTAGGCTAGCCCCAAATTTAAAACTGAAATGGCTGTGAAAGTCTTACTCACAGACGAACACAATACAGAAGCCTGATGATGGCAGATGAGATTCTGCCAAAACGTTGCTACAACTTTAAAAGCACAACTATAATGACATGGGAAAATATCCGAACAAAGCTGAATACCATACATGTAATTACCCACAAAAAGTTAAGATATATATATCCATTCCAGCCAAACCCCCAACCAATGAGAACACACCCCCACCCAATCAGAACATAGTCAAGCCCCCACCCAATCAAGTCACACCCCCACTAGCAGTTAAAAGGAAGAAGCAGCTGCAAGCTCACATCACTCTGAGAAGCACAGAGCTGAAGACATATATATACTGAAAATCAAATCTATTTTCCTTCAATAATTGAAGATTCAAGATTCTGTTCGTCATTCTATAAAGGAAAAGTTTTCCTTGAATTACAGAACAGCCAATACATATTTGGGTGTACAAAAACAGATTGGATGAATGAAAAAAAAAGATATTGTTTCCAATAGTGAAACAATATCCTGCATCTGAACAGAAATGTCAACATGAGACAAAAACACCTTAGCATGGAACAGATGGGGGGCTACAGGTATAAATCACATCTTCTTTTATTACACACTTTTAGTAGTGTGTTGCTGCTTTCACACTGTTAGGTGAAATCTGTATTTGATAAGCCCAGGAAAGAGAAGTAGAAGATGCATTTAAACTGTCACATTCGCTCAAAAACATAGTGTGCCAGTCAGCCACTTACCCTGGCGTGAAGTCTTTGGAAGAACACAGTCTTAGACTTTGCAAAGGTGATGGTTAAGAGCAGTAAGCCATAAATGAGATTACAAAATGGGTTAAAGGAAATACTCCATAAATGAGATTACAAGATGCTTCAACTCTCCCTTGGATAGAAACATAGCTTAAGCAACAGCATACAATATATTACATTCAGATAGGTTAAGTGAATGAAGAGCAGAAGATACCAAGACAACTGAGCTAAAGATTCAGCAAACAGAAATGGAGCCAGGACAAAGCATTGTGAGAACACTCTAGAATTGGTGAAATTGAATCCAGTACCTGTCACTCCTACAAGATTGACCAGATCAAGAAACATGTACCATGTAGGTTTAAAACTCTTATTAAGAAGGCTTTATTAACAGAATCTTGAAATCAGAATGAGCTTCCCTTCATCCCTTTTTATCTTCTTCATAATTAGGGCATGCATCAGACATTTTTGCAAATTACTCTCTTCATAAGTCCTTATGAATTTATATTTTCATTGATTTGGTGGAGGATCTTCTTTTTCTCCATAAAGATCACCCTCTATATTCTCTACAGTGCTTACCTTGCACAGTATTAACATACTGGACTAGGAGCAGGGAAACCTGGATTCTAGTTCTGTGTTAGGTACAAAAGACAGATTGGTGATATTGGGTCAGTGATTCCTTCTCAGCCCATGTCAATATCAGACTGAGACATAAGCTGGCTGAAAAACAAAACCTCTTGCCACATCATGAATTGATAGCTGCAAGAACTGGATTAAAACCAAGAAGATCCTGCAATCAGCAGAACAGGTGCTAAGAAGATCAACCTCCAATACCATATGTTGAATATAAAGCAACGGATAAGAAGCTGGGCTGGGCAGGTCCTGTTTTTGCCAGCCTAGCAGTTTGAAAGTATACAAATGTAAGTAAATAAATAGGTAGCTTTGAATAGGAAGATAATGGCTTTCCATTTCCTCAGCATATAGTCATGCTGGCCACATTACCATGAACAGACAATACTGACTCCCTTGACTAAGAAACAGAGTTGAATTTTTATTAGATGATGACATACAGTATCTTTTAACTAGCAGTAACCTTTCTTGAACTACCTCTCCACATATCCAAGCCATTTAAAATATTTTGTGATTACCATTCATCTCTCTATGCAAACATTCATTTGGCACCTCCATTTATTCTTGATCCTGTCTCTTTTTCTATGCGCACCTCTTAAGGATTCATTCCCACTGCATTCAATTTACTTTTATGTTTCTGGTGACATTTTATTTTTCCCCATTGTGTTTAATCTCTTTTCATTTTCACACACCATTTTCACTTCTTTTAACAAACATCTTTTCTTCACAATGTATATCATTACTTTTCTACCAGTATCTGCACATCTTAAGATTTCTTCATTGATTTTGCTATCTTCACAAATTCTCTCAATATCTCATAAGGATATGAGTAATATCCTTTTAGATATTCATTCCTTTGCTATGTATGCCAAAGAATAGAATTAAATTAAAATCCATATTGTTAAAGCAAATAAACTTTTTTCTAAGCAGAAATTGAGAGAATCACCATTCTCATTTACTCTTGGGTATTTGAATCAGTTTTTGTGTAATCTCTCTTTGCATTCCATATCTTCTTGTGTCATCTGAGAGAACCACCATTCTGATTTATTCTTGGATAGATCTTGAACAGCCCAGTCAGCCTTTTTGTACTCTCATTTTGCATTTCTACATATCTATGTCACTTAACAAAATGATAGTTCCCTTAGGATTACCATTATCAAACCAGGAATGTGGCATGCAACTATCATCAACCTAAGAATCCCTTTTATATGGACCCACAACTGCCTATATGATACCAATTATTCATTTTGGCATATATTTTAGATTTTCTTATTTCATTATTTCTTAATGAAAATCTGTAATTTTCCCACACATATTTATCAATTCATCTCCAAAACATCAACTACCATTATTTTGCTCTCTTGTGGTTTCACAAATACCCATTTATTTGTATTTTGTGTATTTCATTTGTTAATTCATGCTATTTGCTTCTTTTGTCTTAATCTTCCATATGTTATGTTCACTGCCAGATGATGTCTTGGTATTTGTCCTCAATGCCCACCATGACTTTGGACAGCTCAGGCTTTCACCCAATGTTTTCCAGTAAAAGAACATGTAGATTAAGAATTCGATCCAGCTGCTAAAGGGAGCCTTAATTATGCTTATGCACTTCTAGCATTCCCTGATAACAGCAAACCCAATATTGGCCAGTTCTAAACTATCATATCATTAATATTGGTTGCTACTCAGTGTTATCTAGAACAAGACACCATTATTTCCCCTTCCAACAAGGCAAATCATTTTAAATGCAATTTAAAAAAACACAGAAAACAAACAGTTCTCAAGTGGATTTGATTCCCAATCTCAAATCCCACAACTCAATCTTTAAAATGTGCAACTAAAAGCAGCTAAACAGGGAAAATACTTCACAGTTATTCACAGTGTTTGTACAATTCTATAATCTTCTCACCATAGGATGAGAATCTTT